AATGTTCTTTGGGGGTTTAAGAGAATTGTTCTGGGCCTCCCTGAATCACCTGGTGACATAGAGCTTTATTTGGAACAGTTTTTAGGATCTGAAATGAGAGCTCCAAGATGCAAGTTCCTTCCATTGCATTAAGGTGTGGAATGGGAAACTGGAGTCAGGAATTTATAAATAAACATTGTGTTAATTAATAGCTTGATTAAAAGCACATAGGCACTATTTTCTTTGTTTTAGCTTTGCACTCCCTCACTGAGCTGCAACATAAAACATATTCTTGCCCTGAGGATAAGGGCCCCTTGAACAGAGCAACCCAAGAAGAATGTACATGTTGCAAAATCTGCCTGAGACAGTGCCCTTCTTGGTCTAGGTACTTCTCACTAAAAACAACAACAACAACAACAAAATCCCAGGCATGTATGGTGCAAGGATCTTGATACAGCAAAGCTGACCAGGGCATAGTATCTCTGGGCCCCATGCATACCGTCAAAACAGTATAATAATTAAAAAATACCAGGTGTTCTTAACAAACAAAAATACTTATTTCAAGGAATGTCTAACATATTCCCTGCCATACCTTTTCACTGTAAATATGCCCTGTGTCAAAGCAGCTCACCACATCTCTTCACCTGCACTTTGCTTACATAGTGTGTCTTTGCTTGCTAAATAAACCTTTGCCTGTTCCTTACCTGGTCTTTTATCTCAGCCTAAAATCCTTTTCTGCAATCCGAGACAAAAATATGCAGGACTCGAGTCAAGGTCCCTTTTTGATGACTTCCTCAGACAGACTCCATTGACACCCAGTAACTCTTAGTTAGAGCGGCTGGATGGACCACATAACTGTCCCCCACGGATGGCCCAGAGCTGATAATCCAATATGGACAATGTCAACCATGTCTCCAGGCTTGGGTTCTTAGTATGACTACAACAGGAAAACCAGGCAGTGTAGCCAACCCTCTGGGAAACAGCAGAGACCCTGGCAAGGCCTCAGCCTAGGGGCCCCTTACTCATGTTCATCACTTGTTGAGAGGAGAGGTCCTATGCCACAAAGAGTCCCCAACTCCCCTATCAATTTGTCAGCCTTCCCTCTGAGTCAGGATGACCTGATTCTAACTATTGATGAGGCCTTAAATCCAGCCACTTTCTTGGAGGAGGAAACAGGAAGGAGTCCGGCACATAAATGTTTAGATATTATTGAATACCAAACAAAAGTAAGGCCAGACTTCAGGGAAACTCCTTTCCAGACTGGGTTCCATTTCTTTGTGGGTAGATCTCTTGGGTAATTGAAGGAAAAAGACATAATGGGTAGGCCTTGACTATAATAGAGTCAGCCTGACTCCCTAACAATTGGTCAGCATAGACTTGCAAATTGTTTGCTCTAAATCAGACTCTTAAAAATCAACCCACTAAATTAGATCTTAGATTAAATTCCTTCCCATAGCACTACTCAGGATAGGGACGGCCCCTCAGAAGGACACTGGCCTCTCCCCTTATGAAGTGCTTTATGGTCTTTCTTACCTTAGCTCTGTTGCTGATGTGCCTAACCTTTGAAACCAAAGACTATTTCCTCAAAAATTATATACTTGGATTGTCTTCTACCTTACTTTCTCTTAGGAAAAAGGCGTTAGCACAGTCTCCTCCACTTGACTTTCCCGTTCACCTACACCAGCCTGGTGATTATGTGCTGATCAAGACCTGGAAAGAAAATAAACTTAAGCCAGCTTGGGAAGGACCCTTCCTGGTCCTGCTGACCATGGAGACAGCTGTCAGGACCATGGAGTGGGGATGGACTTATCACACATGGGTAAAGAAGGTGCCCCCTCCTGACCAGAAGGAACAATGGGCTGTGCTCTCACATCCAGACAACACCAAAGTGACTTTAAAAAGACTATAGTGAAAATATTTTTTCTCTTTCATGTGGGAAATGGTATGCTTATTATTAATGTAACTCAGAGTAGTTTTTCCTTAATTGTTGAATTCAATGCATGTCAGGTCCTTCCTTGCAGAGACCTTATGTCCCAACTTCAACTCCAAGGATACTCCCTTTATATGTGTCCTATCCCAGGACCCACAGGGAAGCCTGGTATGTGTCCAGAGTGGATGGATGTGGGGTGGAACACTGGATATAAAGGATACACTTCCCCCTTTTATGAAAATCCTAAGGGCTGGACTAGACCCCAGGGCACTGGAAAGACTCTGATTTCCATCATACAAAATGATTGACAGTCTTTTAACAGACTACAGTCAAAATTACAGCTGTTTTGGACACACCCCTCTTCTTTTTGCAAAGATAAACAGTGTGACCCACCTAGATTGGTCATAGAAAGCTCTTGGAGTATGACAAAAGAACCATCCATATTTCGTAAATATGGGTTGTGGATGGATATCTCAGGAACAGACCCTTTAAGGTGCCTTGAGCTCCATCTAGCTCCCACATGCTCTCAGGGGACACCCAGTTCTACCTCTGCTCCAATGTTACCTCCAAGTTTATACAAGAGTTGAACTCAGGTAACCCTAGTAGAAATCAAGGACCTAAGACAAACTATGGCTATTGAAATTGGGTACAGGGATGCAAATGCTTGGATGGGATGGATAAAATATTCTGTTCACACATTAAATAAGAGCGATTGCTGTGTTTGTACTACTGGGAGACCAGAGTCTCAGGTGGTCCCATTTTCATCAAACTGTTTGCCCTTACTCATCCCCCAAGCCTTTTAGCCCATCGGGAAAGACTGTGAACCTTTGACCTGGACAAATCCCAGGTGAGGGGCAGGTACGACTGCATCAGGGATATAAGGAGGAGCCATGGTCAGCCATTTTGTGCTTGCGTGTTTGCTTAGCTGGAGTGAGCATGTGCTTGCACCCTTTTGGTCAAGAGAAATTGCCTTGTCAATATTTTCTGTCTCTTGTGTGTCTGTTTTTGGCACCACAGGGTCTTTAATTCCAATACTTCCATTGTGGTACTGGAGCATGGAAGTCTGGAAAATGACCTTGTGGAATGGGAGAGAGGATTGTTTGGGTGTGTGTGCATTTCCTGTAGTGTGTGTGTGTGTTGGTGTGTGTGTATGCTGAGGAGGTAGCTGTGTGTGCACAGCTATACTTGTGTTTCTGAGTGTGTTGACATAAGGCTGTATGTACCAGTGACTTTGATGAGATGGTTAACAAGATTGGAAAGCTGAGTCTTGAGTTCTCAGTCCCTTACAGACTGATCCTCAGTCTCTCCTCCTGCCCTAGGTTCCTCCATGGAACCTGGATTCTATCCTTGCATTTTGCTCGCATCTAAAGTGACATCTATCCATGAGATTGTTGCAGGAATCTCAAGCTTAGATATGAGACACTGAGGCAGTTTAGCAGGAAGCAACATTTTATTGTGCAGGCATAGACTCAGTGGACTCCTGTTCAAAGGCTGAGCCCTGAGAACAAAAGGGTCTCACCCTGTATACCCTTAGAAACAGGTTACAGAAGTAAAGAGCAAAGCTCAACCTATATATGGCTGCATGTGACTTTATTGGCTATTTCATTCCCCAAGTGCTATGTGATCTTCTTCATGTTTGAATTCTTTAAGTTTTATCTATCTGTTATTCCATCCCTTTCCCCCTGCTACATTATCAGAACACAAACTTATTGTTTCTTTTTTGGTCCTCCTTCCTGCTACAGGATGACAACCTGTGAGACAAGAGCTGACAGCATGCTGATGGGACCTGAGCCTTAGTGGGGGGGGTCACATTGGGTTATTGGTCTCTCAACACTGAGGGGCTGTCCTACTCAAGGAGCAGGTTTAGATTAAGAAAAACAAGTATCATATATGCAAAATCCAGTCAATGAATGACACAAGTGTAAAACAGGTTCTGTTTGAGGGTGGGTAGCAGCCAGAGGGCAAAGGGAGAGGGTGTGTGTGGTGTGAACATGGTTGAAGTACTTTATACACTTTTATGAAAATAGAAAAATGAAATCTGTTGAAATTGTTTTAAGTGGGGTGGGGGGAGAAGAGCTGATGGTGAGTGAGAAGAGGTGAATTTGATTGAGATACATATATGGAAAGTCCTTTCTGTAAATAATATATACAAATAAAAATGGGAAAAAACGGAGCAGACTTCTCACAGACACTTGTCCTATGATGACTGCAACCCTCACAATAGTACAGCACCCATTGTACAGCTCAGGGAGCTGAGGATCAGAGAAGTAGAGAGCTTGCCCAAGATTACTCAGCTGGGAAGACCATGCTGGGCCTTCTCTTTCTGATTCTTCTGCAGGTCCCGACTTGCTTCTATCTCCCTGACTTCCTCCCCATCTCTATCCCCTTCCTCTTCAGCACTGCTTTGGGATTTGTGAGCTTTCAGTGTTGGTTAAGTTTTGTGCTTTTCCTCAGTGGATGTCAAGCCCTCCTCCATCCCTCAATCGGTGTATTCACAGCAGTGCTAGTGACAGTTGTTATTTGAGAATCATATTAAACCAGGTCAAGGCCCTGTCAACTGCAGTTGGTGACAGATGAAATGTGACCTTGAGCCCCTGCCTGGATAAGGAAATTACTCTCCAGACACTAGAGTCCTAATTTGTTTCAGAAGCAATAAAGTTTATTTCCAAAAGCAGGCGATACACCCAATAGACTACCTTCTAGATTTTTCAGGATCCTTACCCAGACTCATTTCATTTTCACAGCCAGAGTCTCAGAAGTCCCACAATGGTGATCTACAGGCTGGAAAGTCAGGGAAATCAGTCACTGCTCAGTCCACAGAGCTGGAAGCCTCAGAACTAGGGACCAATGATGCATTCTCAGTCTGAGGCTTTTTTTTTTTTTTTTTCAGTAATGGGGCTTGAACTCAGGGCCTACACCTTGAATCACTCCACCAGCCCTTTTTTTGTGATGGTTTTTTTTGAGATAGGGTCTTAAACTATTTGCCCAGGTTGACTTCAAACCCCAGTCCTCCTGATCTCTGCCTCCTGAGTAACTGGGGTTATAGGCGTGAGCCACTACTCCCGGTTAAGGCTTTTTTTTTTTTTTTTTGAGGCTTATTTTAATAGTGGTGTTTATGAGCAATGTCAGAGGAAACGGAAGGTGATATAAAAGCACTGGCGCCCCAGACTCCGCCTTACCTTCTAGATGGCATCCTCGGTAAGTCCTCTACATTTCGTTATGAATTCTACGATGGGTGGGCAGTCCCATAGTAAAGGACTTGGGCACACTTAATTGCAGAACTTGTCTTTAGAAGGCGTTCCTGGAAAACTGTATTGATTATTCAGAATGTCCATTTTTTTCCCTACCAGTCTCTGAGGTCTCAGTGCAGAGTTGGCTCCTCTCTACCCTGGGGCAGTCATGGGCCTCTCTGTGGGAGACAGCTATGGGGTTGCAGGAGCCGGGACCAGGTATTCAGAGGCAGCTGGGATGTGTTCAGGATTGGGATCTGCACGGGGATATCTGATGTCATTCTCCATGTTGCTTGCTTCTGCTGTTGATTGGGGTCTCAGATCTGCTCAGTCTCAAACAGTCCTTTCTCTCTCCTCTTTCTTCCATGGCATTCATTCTGCCTTGCAAAATACAGTTGAATTTTAGTATTTTAAGTTCTTAAATATTCTCTCCCATCAGCCCAGAGGTTCAGATTTACAGAAGTTCCAGGAAGCTGAGCTTAGCCTTGCCCAGTTTGAGAAAAACATCCGGACCATTGCTATTGTTGAAAATTGAACAATGTCCCATGGAAGGGGGGAAGACTGGCCAAAGACTTCTGTGTATTACCCACTCCAGTGCCTAGATCCCGTTCCATTTCTTTATCTAAGTAGGTACCAAACTGGAATTTCAGTTTCCCACTGTTTATTGTTGACAGAATCTTGACTGTGGTCTTAGAGATTTGAAGATAGAATAAATATTCCTGCTGTATACTCTGGGTATAGACAACTAGCTACCATGGACAGTTTCCTTGGAATTCCCCAAGTGACAACTATCTCTGGTGTTGCTGTGGTGTGGCTGATGTGGCTGCCACAAGCTGAGATGCTGGAGTAGCTGGGCAGGAGTCTTGGCTCTGTTGATCTTCTCTCCTCTATGTCTATTTCTTTTTTTTTTTGGCAGTTGTGGGGCTTGAACTCAGGTCTCCATGCTTGCTAGGCAGGCTCTCTACCACTTGAGCCACTCTACCAGTCCTTCTTTTGTTCTGTTCTAGGCCTGGTCCTTGGCTGGATTCTGGAGGGACAGGGTGGGAGGGAGGGTTGAGGATACAGGATCCTGCTTTCTGGCGCTCACAGCCAGAGAGGACTCAGATAAGCACAGGGAATTGTGGCTCCCCAAGTCCCCCTCAGGAGAGGTGAAAGTCCAGGGGTCTGGGGCCCAGAGCAGGCCAGCTGGTCCAGGCTGTGCAGTCAGGACAGCCTGTCTGGCTGGGAGGGGCTAAGTGTGAGAGAGGCTGAGGGGAAAGGATCTGCAAAAAGAGACCTGGGTGTTCACAGCAGCAGAAGCCAGAGGGAGCACTTTGATGTGGGGAGTGCAAGCCTCTGAATGGACCTGGGAGAAAAAAAATGCAGGAAAGGTGAGGAGTGGGTAAGACCTGGTCAGGAAGAGCCTGCCAGAAGTGCATGTTCTGTGCTTTTAGATCAGAGGAAGTTCTTGGCAAAAGGAAATGGTGTAATAGGGACAGGAAATAGGGAGTCATGGAGGCAAGGCTAGGGCTGCCCTGACACTCACTGGATGGAAGATGGATGAGTAAGTGGATCAGGAGAAATTCCTTGTTTGACTAGACTCTGTGATCCTACATTGATGTGAGAAAAAGGGTTTGCCAAGTAGACAGCCTGGGTTCAATACTATCCACTGAGCACAGGCACAAGAGGGAAAAAGCAGAAAAATCCACAAACGTTAAAGCTGTGGTGACTAGGAGTGGGGTGCAGGATGAAGAGTGGGAGAGGGAGGGGAGGCAAGGGTGAGTTGGGAACCTAGAAACAGGCAGAGAAAACCCAGCACAATCTTCCCAGCTACTTGATCTTGAGCAAGCCTCCATTTCCTCAACTGTGGTTTGGATGCTCTGGCTCCCCCAGGGCTGTTGTGAGGGTTGCAGTTATCATAGGGCAAATGCCTAAGAGAAACCTGCTCCTTGAGAGGGGAAGCTCCCCTCAGGGCTGAGATCCCTAGAGCCCCATAGGATTCTACTCTAAGGCTCAGATCCCATCAGCATACTGTCAGTTCCTGTCTTACAGATGGTCATCGCCAAGGGATGGGTGTCAGGCTAGATAGGGGCAGGGTGTGAAGAGAAGATCCTGGTGTGTGCACAGAGGACCCCAGGGCAGGAGGAGTGATGAAGATCTGAGGACAAAAAGTTCAAGACTTATCTTTCCAATGTTTCTTCCACATCAGTTTCTGTTACATGCAGCTTGAAGTCAACACACCCAGAAGCATGGGTACAATTCACTCTTATAGGCACATCTGCCTCCTTATGCATGCATGCACACACACACACACACACACACACACACGCATACACACACACACACTCATCTTCCCCATTCCATAAGGTCATTCTCTAAGGCTTCCATGCTTCAGTACCCCACTGTCCCCAAGGTGGAGCATCACAGGATGACAATGGGTCTGGGGAATCCCCTGGGGGAACAGGAGCTCTCTCCTCCCCTGGTTCTCACCAGGTGACAAACATGGGCAAGGGACCCCCAGGCTGAACCTCTGCTTCCCCTGCCAGGGTCTCTGTTGTTTCCCAGAGTGCTGTTTAACTGTCTGTTTTTTCTGTTGCAGTCATCACGAGTGCTGGAGTGTGGAGACCTGATTGAGACTGTCCACATTGGCTGTCTGGATTGGGCCATCTACATGGGACAGATAACATGATCCAACTGACTGCTTCAAGTAAGTACTGTTATAAATTCAATTTTCAAAATATTAGTTAAATAGATAACAAGAACAAGACCAAAGACCATTAGCAGTGTTACCCAGGAACTAGCTGTGGTCCTTTTGCTCTCCTCAGTTGTAAATCATGAGTAGGAGAGGATCAGTTCTTCTAGTTTTGGCAGTCCTGGCCCTTGAGTACTAAAAATTTATGGGCTGTGCTGATAGATACCCAGGCTTGTAGCTCCAAGTCCCAAGAACTAGACATTTACCACACCAGACCTTGAAGCCGGACCTATAGATCTAAGTGTTTATGTTGGAGGCTTTCTGCTCTGGGTTTTAACTGCCATTGTCCTGGCACTTGGTGGGTAGTGACATCTTCTCTAATTGATAGCTAATGACAGTAACAGCTAGTGTTAGAGTTCTCAAATCTTAGTGAGCCTTTTAGTGGGTAGTGTTGATAGTGTTGTCATTCTCACGCATTGGGTGTTAGATTCTCAGCCTTCAAGGCTTGGCAGCTTCCAGAAACTCTTCCAGTGACTGGAGCTTACAGTCTCTCACTCATTGCCTTCTGCCTTCCACAGGCCCCTGTGCTCCTTGTCATTACTGCTGCTGCTGCTGCTCCTGCTGCTGCCACTCTTCTTTGTGTTACCAGCTTAGTCTGCTCTACTTAAAATAAAAATAAAAATTGGCCAGAAAAGACCTTTCGGAGAAGCCTTTTTTTGGGCCTAATGTTGCAACACCAGAGGGCAGGATGGGAGTGGGTCTCCCAGCTGACGGGAAAAGTGTGCTGAACACTCCTGTTATGAAGCCAGGAGGGGATGTGCAGCATGGGTGTGGCATGCAAATGAAGGATTATATTTGCACAAATCAGAGCACAGTGTTAAGTTTCACCAACCATTAGCTTCTTTCTGAGTAACTGAGGAGGGCTCCCCCTCCCACCTTGAGCAAGAATAGCTGCAGGGAAGTTTACTGAGATTTGTCCTGCTTGCCTTCCAAGGCTGGTGCAGGTTGTCTGGAGGGGTTGTGACTGGGGCAAGGCAGGAGTCTGGCTTCAGTTGTAGTGATCTGGAGTGTTCTCAGAATGATCATAAGGGTCTACAACAGCCAGGCTGCCATGAGGGCATTTCTGCCAGCTGCCAGAGAAGGAGCTACTCTGCTGACAGCTCCCTGCTCAGGATGCCAGGTATAAGGAAATACCTCGATAGTCATCCAACGACCTGGATAGCTTGCTTCTGGAGGTTTTCCTATTCATAGGAAAAATCCAAACATTATTTGCTTACACTATAGGCTTAAAGAAAGCTCAACATGAAACTAACATTCTCAACAGAATTTAGCAGAGCTTATATCCTGTCCCTGTTCCCTAGAGAGAGTTGGCTCCCTCTACTCTGTCTCAACAGGCAAATTAAACAAATACTTAATTTGTGTGCCTGAGTCAATGAAAATGATGCTTGAATAAACCTGTTAAATTCGATGCAATGTTCCCCAAACCTTTGATGTTTCCTTATCACCAAACATTTTTGTTGTCACTGGACAAGAAATCATTGTTGTTAATGTCACAAATAATACATTGCCATGTTTTGTACAAGAAACTATGTACTCTGGGAGAACTGTAAAACGGTAGGCATGGATCATATAGAACAAATCAACTCATTTAGGGCAGTTGACCCTTATGGGACTTGTAAGACAAAGCTTATCTGTGAAGGCACTTGGTCTTACTTTATGTTTAACTTCTGGTAAGTGGATAGTTTTTCTCAGGATGAATTCTAAGTGAAACAGAAATCTTATCATTAGATCCAAAGACACAAAGGCATGCTTAATTGTCATGCTTACTTGCTATTGTTTCTGTAAGTAAAAAACACCTGGATCTCTGTGGAGTGGACTTTTTTGGACTCTATCTCTTAATAGCTCTTCTGTGATCCTATGTGATAAGGAAACCCAGAGAAAGATCAAAGCTGGGAAAAGAACCAAAGACGAGTAAAGCCCTTCTCCTTAGCTGGGGGCCCTGCATCCAGCTATCTCGTTAGAAACTGTGGATGGCCGTTGTCCACAGCTGTGCTGACATGCTATTGTAACCTTGAATAGCTAACTGCCAAGTCTGCTTCTGCACTCCTTCCTTGCTTGCTTGCTGCTTTTCTCAGTATAAAAACCTCAGCCACCCTGAGCTCGGGGCCTGCGCCATTTTGGAGTTATCCAGGTGCTGGCCTGCTGGCATAATAAACCTTCCTTTCCTCCAGCCACCTGGGTTTGAGTCCTATTCTCGATGGTCAGACATACTTTCTGTACCATTCCTGCAACATATGTGTGTGCCCAAAACTATGCCACACCCTTGCATGGAAGATACTTAGATGGAGCTTAGTTTTTGGCTCAGTGTAGTGGTGGGAACATAACCTTTGGGGCTTTCAGTTTCATAACACAGAAGAGTCTGATAATATCTCTCCAGGCACAATATTGGTTCTGTATAATGGAGCTAATATTGTCACTGTAGGAAAGAAAGAGTATTAAACTAGACAACATATAAAAACAGCCCTGTGGGGCATCTAAGCTTGATAGGTACTAATAAAGATTGATCCTTTTCTAAATTACAACAGGATATGAAGATATACAAATTTATTTGGTGTATGAATAACATCTTTGTATGTAATGGGTGGTTTTTTAAAAAAAACAAGTTCATGTTGCAAAGTTGGGGAGTGACCAAATAAATTATGTATATACTTGTAAAGCAATGACAAGGTTACATGATGTAACCATCCAAAATCATTATTTATGACATGGGCCATATTCACGTCACATCTTATTAAGCAAAAAGAATAGAATGCATCATTCCTCTTATCCTCTCAGTGAAAGTTAACACAAAAGTTCTAGTTAATACGTCTTATTTTTCTGCCTTTCCCCTGACTTCAGTCTCCTGATTTTGTCCTGTCTATGGTTTCCAGGTACATTCCTCAGTATTGGTTCCTCCAACTTGTTCATGTTGCTAAGCAGCCAGACTGTGGTGACAACGGATCCTCTGCTACTTCTATAGTGTCAATAACCTGTAGGGCCGTAAGTACAGACCTCAGTGTGTGGATGTAATTGTCAACTCCTTGTCTTCAGAGCTCCTTCACCCGTTTTGTCAAGAAGTTCTGCAGTCTGAGTTCATTAGCAGATCTGGAAAGTTGTTGTCTTCCATCCAGCCTCGGGGCCACTGCAATCAGGCAGCAGGATGTGTCTCCCAGGGAAAGGGCCAGGACCCCCTTCCCAGATGGAATGTAAAATCCCAGACAGAGCCCCCAAATTGTTGGAATTGATAACCCTCCAATGCCGGAAACAGACACACAAGAGACAGAAAATCTTGACAAGGCAATTTCTCTTGATCAAGAGGGTGCAAGCATGTGCTTACTCCCGCTAAGCAACACACAAGCACAAGATGGCTGACAGTGGCTCCTCCTTATGTCCTGGACGCGGTCGTACCTGCCCCTCACCTGGGATTTGTCCAGGTCAAAGGTTCACAGTCTTTCTCAGTTGGCTAAAGGGCTTGGGGGATGGGTTAGGGCATGCAGTTTGGCGGGCAATGGAGTTGTACAGGAATCTGGAAGAAGAAGCAAGGACCCTTTAAACATGCAAGTCACTTAAGATGGCAACCTGAGGAATTTTTAAGTAATCTAAGAGGGTAACAAATACTTTGATAGAAAAGATAATTTTTCTTACAGGAGTAAACAAATCCATGAACATGAACTTTTAACAGGACATATCTGGAGTGAGTAGAAATAGTTGTATTGCCTCTGCTTAATCAGAAGGCCCTGGCTAAAGACATGAGTTTTCTTTTTGCTGAAAGCCTGGAAGGCTTTAAGCTAGATAACAAATGCATGAGAACCCTCTGTTTAATCTCTTGGCTTTGGTTAGTGTTAGAGTTCTGGCATAATTGACTCTACTTAAATCTGAAGAATGTTTCCTCTTTTGTGTAGTCCTTTCAAATTATAGTCCTTTTAAACTGTTTCTCTGAACGGTTGCTCCTGAAGATTTTGCCCATTGGGTATTTTGGTCCCTTGTTTCCAGGATTAACTTTCTCCTGGAAAGTGTGGTCTGGTCCCATGTTGGAGGGGAAGTAGCACAACAGACAGGTGGAAGTCATGCCAATGAGACCTTTTTAGCTAAATTTAAGCAACAAAGAGGTTTAAAAAGAGTGTTTCTTAGGCTGGGATTACTTGGAGTAGATTTGTAAGTCTAATTTTGTCTTCTCTATAGAGAATGTCCCATCATCTTAAAAATGCCACAAATTGTCAAGAGACAACAGTTATAAAGTCTTGCAAGAAAAGCACAAAACCACACCCATACTTAGAAATGTCTCACTTGGTTGACAGATAGGTACTTGTCAGAGTCATTTTCCATGAGCTTGTCTATAAATGCTCCAGAAGGATCAGGACTGCAATGACAAACTTGAAATAAATTATTAAAATTCTGAAGAAGTTTAGCAATTGACAGAACAGTCCAATACTTCCACTGTATAATACAACATTATTAAGCCTTTCTTTTTTATTACAACTAGGAACATATGCACAAACTTTCAAGAGACTAGCATCATTAACAGTTTTAATTTGGAAGACACCAGCTTGGTACAGCATTATTTTACAGCATCTAAGAAGGGTTGTATACTTAGAGAACACAAATACATCTAACATACAAAGGAGCCAGTAACAATTAGCATCTCAGCTTAAGCCTTGAATTGTTGGTTAAGAAAGTTAACAGACGGACAGTACTAACAAAATCAAAAGCCTAGGTTTCCTAACAGTTAGGGGAAGGCAGTATCAGTAATCCCAAATGGTCCCTAAGGTTTTTTTTTTTTTTTGTGGTACTTGGGTTTGAACTCAAGGCCTATGCCTTGAGCCACTCCACCAGTACTTTTTTTGTAATTCTTTAGTTTTTCCTTTAATTACCATTTCATCTTTGAGTTAAGAGATTTCTGTCTCCTCTTGTTCTAGTCTGCTGGAGTGGCCTTCCATTTTGTTTTGTATTTCTGTTTCATTCTTTTTTCTGAGGTTTTCCATATCATGGATCACTACCTCTTTAATATTGTCAATTTTCACTGTTAACTCATTTATCTCTCTATTTGTGGTGTTCTCTGTTTCACTTTGGTGTTTATTTAGGGCTTCTATGATTTCTTTCATATGTTCTTGTGTCTTCTCATATTTTTTTTTTGTTATCTTGGAATTTCTTGAGTGCCTCCTGTACATTTTGGTTGACAATGTCTAATATCATCTCTATGAAATTCTCATTGATTATTTGCAGAATTTCTTCTTTCAGGATGTTCTTGTGGGCTTCATTGGGTTACTTGGTATAGTTTATCTTTGTTTTGTTGGAGTCTGAATCTGGGTAACCATTTTCTTCATTTCCCTCTGGCTCCTGTACTAATTTTTTTTTTTTTTTGGGAGGGAAGAATGGTTTCCATCCTTTTTATGTCTTCCTATCATTCCACTTGATGCTGTTACTGTCCTGTTCTGTGTGTAATTTACTATTAGCTAGCTTACAACAGTAAAAGTAATGAGATCTAGAAGGAAAGAGTAAGAAGAAAAAGAAAGAAAAGAAAGAAAAAAGAAAAAAAAGAGCACCAAAGAAACTACCACGGAGAGATGGTGTACTAATCAACAGTGAACAAGCATTTAGAAAGAAAGAAAAAAGAAAAGCAGAAAAAAAAAAATTCCAGGTTCAGGTGCAATGAAGTTTCAGTGTTAGTAGCTCTGATGTCACTCCTTCAGCCTCCTGTCCTGGTGCTGGTATTAAACAGTAGCTCTGTCGTAGTCTCACCAGGTGGTAGGGTCAGGAGACAGCTCTGTGAACTGCTGTCTGCCTTATTTCAGGCAGTGGTTCATCTGCCACCTACTGTCAGCTGTCTACTATTGCTGGCTTTGTTTATTAAAAGGTCCCGTGGAGTTCAGCTCCTTGCCCCCTGCCCTTCTCCAGTGCCTCAGAGCACCCCGCCCCCTCTGCTGCATGTCCTTTTCGGTTCCTTATTTATTATTCAGATTTTTTTTTTGTGGAGCAGGGATCAGTCTGTCAGGGGGCTATGCTGGTTTATCCCAGGGGTGGCCGTGGGAGTACCGCATGCCACTTATTTGCTCTCCTGGCTTCTCAGTATAACGTGGCATGGAGAAGCTTTATGTTGTCTGGGGATTCGGGGTGTCAGGGTTTTGCTTCTTCTTGGTGGTTTTTTCCTGCCAAGTGTGGCTCCAGCGTCTCAGTGAGATTTTTGATTTACGGAGCTCACACTATCTGCTTCTTCCCTCTAGTCACCATCTTGGATCCTCCATGGTGTTGCTTCTCCCTCTGTCTGTTTAGGATATTTCACTTCCAGTTCTGCTGTCGATTTTATATAGTTAAATTTGTTTTACCCCTGTCAGTTACCTAGATAAAACAAAACCCTTTTTTAGACATACATCAGGAGAGTAAATTTTGACCTTAGATTTTAGCTTTAGAAAATTCTTTAGGCAAATTTTAAATTATAGCAAGCTTATGCACATGCTTAAACTTATAATCTTCAAGACCCTTTTAATTTGCATCTTGAAATAACCTTTACAAAATTTTGAATTTAGATAATGTTTTGAAGAGGCAACAATTTTTACACATTAACTTTATAATTATAGTTTAAGAACCATCCTAAAGATGTTTATATACACAGAGATGTTGCAACTTAGGCATGCCAAAATGTCAATTTAAACTTGCACAGATGAGCTCAAAAATGCAAAAATTTAATTTAATGCCCACAGGTATGTTGGTCAGTTATTTTTAGGATAGACTAATAGACATGTACAAAATATACACAATGACACACAAAGACAATTATATTAATTCAGAGTGTACTCATAGACAAATTATCCTTTTGTCATTATTCTTAGTAGCAGATTAGTCAGCTAGATTTTTTTCCTCAGATGCAAAATAGACTTAGAGCTTTTTAATTCTTAAGTGGTTTACAACAGGTTTTTTAAAACCCAAACGCCCTTAGTTTCTCTGTATAGCAACTATAATTAAGAGTACTCCAACCACAGGTTAATTACAATTCTCTCCAGGGGATATCCAGATGGCACCAATCACATGTCTGCCATGCTGACATAATTATGAAGCTCGCCACCATGGGATCAGGGCCACTTGAAGAAAGTGTGGTGGCTCCATCATGGCAGCAGCATTTCCATGTTATGTACAACATACAGGCCCCCAAACAGAAAGATAAATGGAAGGATTGGGAATCCCTCTGGCCTTTAACTAGTAGCACAGAACAGAAAGAAAGTCTGAAGAGAGTGAAAGGCTTTCCTCAGAGCAAAGGGCAGAATAGCAAGGTCAAGAAAATGAGAAATAAAGTTTTAATTCCTTAGGAAACATATCAGAGAGTAGTGGAATTAAATAGAGAAGATCAAATAACTGTCAGACTTCTTGATCTGGCAGTCTGTTATCAATTGGCCACATCACATTACAAAGATCTGTAGGAGTAAAAGGCATGTTCTCCCTGAAAATCAGATGCTGCTTCCTGTAGCAGAGAGTTATTTTTCCATTTGGGGTCTGGTGGTCTCTCTGTAAGGGGAAGAGTTTTGATATAAGATGATGTAGGCTTGAATATAAGGCATCTCAGATAATTTCTCTTATCTTTTATAGTTATGTTACATTACAATAAGAGACTTTCCCTCCATAGGACAGAAAGGAGCAAGGGGGAGTTTCCTCTGGAGGTATGGAGCTTCCAGAGAACCTCAAAGCATGATCATCTTGGAACTATGGAAGTATTGGAGTTCAAATAATATTTTTTGATTTAACTCTGGTGCTCAGATATGGGTACCCCTCTTTTTGTTTGACTTCCTCAGCATGAGAGGTTCTGGGATGAAGCACTCGGTCTGTATGCTAACCCAACTATTATCCTGATGAAGAAAAAGCTCAGAGAAATGTGCCAAATGACCAAAACAAAGGCCTTTATCTGTGGGAATGAAAGGGACCTAGCATCTGGAGAGATAGGGGAGTCATGGGGCAAGTGGCTAAGAAGGAGACCAGTGAGAACAAGGCTGTGGGCACCCGTAGCCTTTACTTAGCCCTGGTGTGACTGCCCTTACTTCTGAGGTGTGAAGGAAGGGAGCTGCTTTCATGTTTATCAAAGTTACCAGTCAGTCCTTTGGTTCCACTGCCTAAGCAGTGGGTCTGAATGGAGCAGAGCTTAGTGCAGGCATTCAGGAATTTATAGCTAGTTTCCAAGGGTGGGGGGAAGGGTGCAAGGCTGTGATGGCAGCTTTTGTGTCTTGGTCTGGCCATTAACTGGTCTCTCAGTTCCATCAGTAGAAGTGGCAGTCACAGATTAACTCGGGTTCCCATCTGGGCTTGTATATCCTGCACATGACCCAATAACTCAATCTACAGGCCTTGGAGTGAGCTGGAACTCTGGTGTAAGACATCTTTTCTGTGGAGACCTTGGGGCATGGGAATTGTCATACCTTTCAAGGACAGCCATAATATGAAAAGAAAGAAGAGAGCAGATAGTAGAGATG